ATATATATATATATATATATATTATATATATATTATATATATATTATATTATTATTATTTATTACTTTTAAATTGTTTTTGTTTTCTTTATCCAGCAGCGTCTAAGTTTTTTTTACATTAAAAATTTTTTTTATTTAAATTTAAATTTTTTTATTTTGTACTATTACCTCTAGTGACGTTTCTTCCGATTGCGTAATACCGATCATATTTCAATCTGTTGTGACCTGTATAATAGTTTCGCTGCGCGGTTTCAAAGTAACCTTCTTATAGAGATAAAGTTTGAAATTTGTTCCTTTGATTTTCATGAGTTGATTCCCGTAATCACAATTAATTCTATTTTTTTATATCCACTCCTAAGATTCCATCGTACTCCATAGATACGTCATTTTTTATTATATATATCAGGTGTCGAATTTAACCGGTTTTTAATGATATCGTCAGATAAGTTTTTCCGATAGTGGAAATCCCATGTCCCGTTATCCCGATTAATTTAATTTTTTCTTCATAAATTTTAGTTTCTCCTTTTAACATTTTTAAATTTAAAAATGAGATAGTGGCATCTGTATTAAATAAAAAATATATTTTTCCGCTTTCAGCTTCTGAGTGGGCAAAGTAATTAGATTTATCCCGATTTCTACGCATAGCATTTTCTTAATATAAAAAATTTGATACTTAGAGGTAGTACGGACAATTCTAGCGTTATCCTCGTTATTGCTGGCTTGTGACTTTGACTTTCCTTTTATCTTGCGAATGTCCTTCATATTATGATTTTTATAAATAGTTTTGACGCGTAGTATTATCTTTTACGGGTCGGCCGTGTAATGACCAGCATTCATCGCGCACGTGCGCGATCTTTCTGCAATGCTTGCAATATTTATTCACAGTGTTTACACGGAGGTGTCCTTTGGCCCTTGGTAATGTGAATTTACTACGACGTTCTCGTATGAAGTGACCCGTTCTCCTGCTCTTTGACATTGAGGGGTGGAGGTTTTTATCTGTCGCGTCAGTTTTATTTCTATATTGAAAATTTACTCGGTTGCTCGGACCTCTCACCCTCTGCTCCGCGCTCGCACCTGCTACAGCTTCTTGCAGAACGCGATATTTTTGTGATCGAACAATTAACTTTATTTCGTCATTTAATCCGACTTGAAAATTATGAAAAACCTGGAGTTTAATTGTTTTTAATATAGTACGTTGCTGCTCAGAGTTCCTGTGTTTCCTTCCTTCAATCACGGATTCATAATTGGCCAGCACGTCTACTCTTCAATCAAAATTTTGTGCGCTTTCTCCGCTTTTTTGTTTAAGGGAGTTAAACTCTATTTGTAAGTGCGTAGTACTGCATTTGCTAAGATATTCGCACTCAAGTTCAGCTTTTAATTGTGCGTAGCTCCGAATATCGCGAGTGTAAAGGTCTAACATTATCTTTCCTTTGAGCTTCGTACATACTGTAACTTCTAATTATGTTTGTTCTTCTTCTGCCGGATCAATGTTTTTTATAGCATAGTCGCATTCAAAAATTTTTAGACGCGGATTCGCGAGATACCGTCGAATTCCGATATTATATCTCATGCCTCCTTTAATCTCAGATAATTTCCAGACGTTCTAGGTCTTCAGTTTCGGATATTGTCTTGCATGCATCCATAGATAACATCCATAGCATTACTCGTATAATTATGATATGCTTTATTCCGTTCTTCTAAATGTGTGCGACTGAAATCAATGTACTCTTCTGGAAGATCCATGCGCGCTCTTATTTCTTTGATTTCCCATAACAATTCATTTAATAACGCAAGTGTCCCCATATCCGCGTCGATTTTATTTCGTTCTGCCATTTCAACGTGTAGTCGACTTTGAATATTTTCTGGGAATTTCGTGAATTTCTTTCATCGCTGGATCAATTGGGTTTTGTGCCATTTTTTGTGTTTTATAAATTTCTTCGGGATCAAAGATATTACTTTCGTATGAAATTGAAAATTCACGCCTATGTGTAGCTTATTTACTCGGAATTCTACTCAAATACTGCATCCATCGAGTGAGAGACCAACATTGCTCTGGAGGTACCGGTCGTGGGGGATTCGAGTAAAGTATACATATACATGTATATATATTGTGATATGTGTGTGTGTGTGTGTGTGTGTGTGTGTGTGTGTGTGTATCATTGTATTATTGACGTATTACTCTAAATACGTTATTTGCGATAAATATCATCACATGCCTCGGTAATCGAAAGGATAAGATGCCTGCCCGGTAAGCAGGAGATCCAGGTTCGATTCCTGGCTGAGGTGGTATTTTTTTGCAAATAATTACGAGTTTTCACGACTGGTTCGTGGTCGGGCCCCGCCGTGACGCACCCTCCCTTCTTATTTGGGTACTTATAACGATATAATTTTATTATACCATTTTGTAGAATTTTCGTAGTCAGCTACAAGAATGTAACAAAAAATGAAGGTTTCCATTTAAAAGAACAAAGTTGATCTCTATATGACCTTGACAATGCCACCCAAGATCAAACTGATAAGATTAGTAAATAGATCTTTTTGCCCTACAATTTTTGTCTAAAATATTTTTCTTACAAATGCTTTGTCTTTGAGATATACGACCATTTTTAGACTTTTCAAAATCCTGTGTGTCTCTTTCCTTTAAATGGGCTATTGTTTTCATATTTCACGATGTTTGCCATCTCTTTGTTAATTAGCTCCCTTTTCACGAATTTACAAATTTATTTCATTTTTTTAGTACGTCTTGTTGATGTCGGAGGCTATTGTTGTCTTGGCAAGTGACAACATACTGACCACTTTTTTATCACGACGCGCCAACAAATATCTTCACTGCATTCTACAAGCTGTTGGGCTAATCTTGAATCTAGTCGGTGTGAGCCTGATGTACAACATCCAACCAATACATTTTCGATCGATCCATGGTATTACAGGCTTTACTTCATTGATGATCACAATCGTAGCAACAATCTTTGGATATCCAGTTTGGATTGCGTGGAAACTTCGCAAATTCGTGCGACCAATAGTCACTAAATTATTTCATAACTTTTTGGGCATTTCTGGCTTTGTCATTGGTATGATATCACAATGTTACGGTTATAAAAAGAATTGGATATATCAAGTATCCAATATAAAGCACGTCGACGAAATTCTACTGGTTCTTACGGTACTAATCATAATATTATCTTTAAGAGGTGCACTTAGTTCCCTTTACAGACAAGCTACGGATTGTATGAAATTACTTCGTCCTTCCATTTAATAAATAAAAATGTTGATGTGTCATTGTCTTCGTGTATAAAATTATTTCATGTTATCTATTTCTTTTACTGAAAGATTTATACTTTTATACTTAGTATATAGTTATTAACAATTTTACCAAAATGTTTTATAAGAAAAAAAGCATTTTCTTATGCTCTCTTTTAATACACACACACACACACACACACACACACACACACACACACACACACACACACACACACACACACACACACACACACACACACACACACACACACACACACAGGGTGATTCAGAAACTGTTTGTCCTTAAAATGTATTCCTGATATATTGATCCTGATAAATGTATTCCTGATATTTGATATTGACGGATAAATAATAAGGATAGGTCTTTCCGTGTATAAACAATAATACATTGGCCCGCAAGGTCACCGGATCTCAATCCTTTAGATTTCATTTTATGGGGATATTGTAAGGAAGCAACTGATAAAATGTCTTTCCGAGAATATCGATGATTTAGATACGAGATTGCGGCTAGATGCTATTTGGGCCATTGAAAAAGATGTAATGGAGAACATCCAGAGGAATTTACTAAAACGCATGAGAGGTTGCGTTAGAAATAATCATTTCGAGTCACACTTATTATAATTATTTTCAATTCTAAATCCGTTCTTTTCGGAGTAACGAAAAATAATCTGCTCTTTTCGAAGTGACAGAAAACAATACATTCTTTTCAGAACGATAAGATCCGCCTTTTTCGAAGCGAAGATTCAGTTGATCTGCAAAAAACGAGTGGGTTCCGTTAGCGCACGATACGATAGCCCACATCTCGATAGCACACATAAGATTTAACATAATTCCCGAATAGCGCACATTCCCTTAGTACACATTTCGATAACGCACAATGAAGAGTAGATAAGACAGTAGGATTCGATGAAGATAATATAAACAAATAGATAAACAAATATATAAACAAATAGATAAATAAAAATTGCGACTCGAAGGACATGATGTCACGAGGGGAGGGGGGATAGATAAGATAGTAGCGAAGATGATATAAACAAATATATATAAACATATAGATAAACAAATAGATAAACAACTAAATAAACAAATAGATAAACAGATAGATAAACAGATGGCAAAGATGACATAAACGAAAAGATAAAGAAATTACGCGTGGACAGGGCGCGTGGACGTCAGAGGGAAGCCCCCGGGCTCGTCGCCGCCGCTGCTGTCGCCGCGCCGCCGTCATGTTCTCATATCATCTTTTTCTTACTCTCTCTCTCTCTCT